AGCACTATGCTAAGTTCCCATAGGCAGTCTTTTAATTAACTCCCTCCAAAGGTGCCTTCATTGTCTTCCTTTTGCTGATGATACTGCCCAGAGAGGTGAAGGTCATTTGACCATGGCCACACAATGCATTCTGAAGTGTGAATAGGCTCCTAGGTCTGTCCAAACCTCCAAAGCCCATGTTCTCAACCATCTGTGACAGTCAGGAATGCCATCTCTACAACTTCACAATAAAATAGTCTTGGGGCCTTTAAGCAGCCAGCTACAGGCTGGTGAGATGGCTCAGTGAGTGAAAGTGCCTTGCCACAATCCCTAGATGTGGCATCTACAGGATGGAAGGAGCAAACTGACTCCTGCAGGTTGTCCACTGGCCTGCTTACAAGCAGTGTGATCAGTGCACACACAAGCCCACTCACACTCAAAAAATGTAGTTTTAAAGTTAAAACCAGCTGCAAGCCACTGAGCCCGATGACAAATTAGGGAACCAAGCTAAAGAGCAAACAGGGAAGTAACCGGCCACATGATATGACAGACTGAACCAGGGGTCATGGGACTGTGATGGGGGGCCCTGTGCACAGAGGCCTGCCTCTAGTCAGCAAGGACATCTCACAGAATTCAAAAGGGGTTCACTGGAGCAAAGTCTCCACAGACTAACAGCAAATGCCCAGGTGCAAGGAGCAGGAGGGCTGGGATCCATCCGTAATGTCTGAGTAGGAGAGTTGGGATCCATCAGTAATGTCTGAGTAGGAGGTCTGGGATCCATCAGTAATGTCTGAGTAGGAAGGCTGGGATCTACTAGAATTGTCTGCAAAGGGTCTGCTGTTGTGCTCAGGTTCCATTCTTGGCCCTAAAAGGTATGTAAAGAGCATCACTGGATTAAGTGAGCTGGGTTAACAATATTTATTCTCTGCCTTCTAAGCAGGGTAGATGTTTCTGTAAAGAAAACACAAGAGCCAGGGTGGTGATACTGACCAGTAACCTCAGCTTTTGGGAGGAGGCACCAGGATCAGGAGTTCAAGATCATTCTCAGCTACATAATAAGTTTGAGGTTAGCCTGGGCTACATGAAACTGGCTCAAGCAATTTTTAAAGGAGAAATTACTTCTTAAAAGCCTTTAAAAAAAGAAAAAGCATGCCTTTAAGCAATTTAATCATTTAATTGGATCACATGGCCTTCATCATCCTTTGGTAATCTATTTTTGCAAACAGGCTAAGTCAAGTGTGACAACTGAACCATCTCCTGGAGTCTGGCAGGCAAAAGCAGAACAGAAGAGCAGGGACCAGGGAGGATGGACAGCTCTAGGCTCCTGCCACCAGAAGTGCCTCTGGGACTGGGATCCCCTGGGACCATATCCTCCATAGTGTCTCAAGAGAGCTGAACTGCACTAGTATGTCTTCCAACTTCTCTAACACCTATGCTCCAAACACAAAGAAAAAGGGGCGTGGCCCAGCCAGGTCCACTTTGGTCTGACCACTGGCCCAGCTCAGTCAACACAGCCACAATGAAGGGCAAGTCGAGGCTTGTAAGGGTATACTGGCAAGGTAGGCCTTGAGCCCCAATGGCCTGTCCCCATGAGGTCAACCAGGAAGCTAGTGGTTTCACTGGAAAGGAACAGAGCACAGAACAATGAGCAGCAGTACCCTCAGAGTGAAAGTGAGATTGCTGGAGCATTAGCTTACCCTGTCTACCTGGGACTCAGCATCCTACTTCTGATCTGGCTGCAACCCCACCCTCTGGAGCACAGGATGGATGCTGAAGCTCAGAGCAGGAATGCTCTTGCTCCACATCCTCACCCAGAGGACCAGAGGACCTCAAGATGGGACCTACCAAACTGAATAATGCCTCTTACCGGCTTACAGGGGCAAGCAGATAGGGTGAGGTGGGTTTTGTTTGCAGCCACATGCACAGCTGGAATTTATATCCAGACCTTCATACTGCCATCAAGCCAAGTTCTGTCTAGAAGATCTGGTGGAACAGAGTTCTGAGAGGAGGGAAAAGTATACACAAAGACAGCTATACTAGGACCTGGAAGGGTGACTTCATGGTTAAGAGCACCAGCTGCTCTTCCAGAGGACCTGGGTTCTGTTCCCAGCACACACATAGTGGCTCAACATGACGCTGTTCTCGGTCCTTTACAGGCACTGCATGTATGTGGTGCAGACATGCATTCAAGCAAACCACCCATAAAACAAAGATACATCCTTTAAAAAAAAAAAAAAAAGATAATAAACCAGGTGTGATGCACACACCTTTAATCCCAGCACTCAGAAGGCAGAGGTGGGTGTATCCCTGTGAGTTTGAGAGTTTGAGGCCAGCCTGGTCTATATAGTGAGTTCCAGTCCAGCCAGAGCTACATAGTGAGATCCTGCCTTGAAAACACAAAATTTAAAAGACAGATACATTAGACCTGGCAAATAGACAGTGGCCAGGGGATGCCAATGCCTGTGGGCACAGGACCTCCAAACCAGGTTTAAACTTAGATTTATAATGAGTTTCCCACTGTCCCACTGACTACTAAAACCCTTCCATTTATAAGCCCCAGCTTTCCCTGAGTGGCCAGCCCTCCTTCCAGCTTAGGAAAACAGTCTGAAGGGCCTTGCTTAGAGTATTCTGTGACTTTCTGGTCATTTAATCCCCACACCTGGGAGTTACCTACTGCCCTTCTGAGCAGAGCCACTCATGGGATGGGTGGAAAGCAGCCACCTTTGTGTGCAAAAAGGACCAATGGGTAGCAGACCTCCATTGGTAGCTGAAGGTCCACTACTGGTGATAATGGGGAAAACAATGTCTCTAAACACAAGGCTAGCACCAGACTCTAGAGATGAAGCCAAACTCTGCAAAGCACGGGCTTCCCCTTCAACAAAACATGACTCCAAGCCTGGCTCAGAGTGGCAGTTCTCCCTGGTGGCAGGAGGTGGCTGTGTGAAAACAAAGCCCCATCTGTCACCTGCCTGTCATCTACTTGTTTGGTCTGGTTACAGGGTCACCCTATTGTTCCCTAAAATCAGGGTTAGTGGGAAAGCACATTTTATTAAAAACACAAAAAGTTACGGGAAGTTCAGAGGAAAGACAGGAGGGCTTCCAAGGCAGGAAGGGACCTCAAAGAAAGGGTACAGGAAGACCCCTCCCCTCTGAGCTGAACACCCAAAGCCTAGGTTGGAGGCTAGCTTGGTAACCTAGTTACCAAATGCCATTCAGCAGACCTCCAGCTTGTGGTAACAAAGCTAGGCAGGGGGAGAAGGGGGAGGAGAGGGGGGGTAAAAAGGAGGGGAGAGGCAGATGAGAGAGGGAAGAGAAGAGGGGGAAGGAGGGAGAAGGGAAAGAGAGGAGGAGGAAGTAGGGAGCCCTGACCACACCATGGTGTCTCCAGGGTGCTCTGAGCCTGTCTTAGAAGCAGAGCCCAGGAGTGTGCCCCTGGAGACTTTGTACACAAAAAGCTTCAGGACACCTGGCTCCTGACCTGGCCAGCCACCTGTCTTCTTTAGCTCCTAGGTGGACATGCTCTTGGCTCTGAAGGGACAGCTCTGCTCCTCCCCACTTTCTCCTCCCCCTCAGCTGAGGAGCCAGGGGAGGTGAGTCAGCAGGCATCAGCTCCTGGCACTGACTCTCCCAGCCACAGGGCTGTCATTCACCCAGCAGCAGGGCCTTAGGCCTCTTGTGGTGGTGGGAGAAGGGGGCCCAGGGTCCTGAGGCAGGCATGCAGAGCCCAGGATTATTTCTGGAGGCCTCTGCCTCTTCTACAAACCTCCCCACTTTCCACCCACAGAAACCCAAGGCTGCACCCTGTGTCCTCTTTGAAAGGGAAGTAGAACCCTTCTCTCACTCTGTAGAAATGCAAAAGAAGCCCCAAGTGTTAGGACACCTTGTGACCCCTCCACACTGCCAGGCCCCAAAAGTTGTCAACTGTGCTGTCCGAAGTCATGACTTCATGGAGAGCAGGCAGTATACTCTGCTAGGTGGCCTTAGGCAAGTCACTGCCCTTCAGCCTCAGCCTTACCATCTGTGCAGTGGGTGTGATATCTGGCCAGTGTGTGATATTTATAAATACCCTCTCCCCCCAGGGTTCCTCTTTCAATGCTTCATTTTTTCCCCACACAGGAAGGACAGCCTTCCTTCCTGGCACCAAAGCCCAACTGGACTATGACCTAAAAGCATGGCAGGAGCAGTTACCTACCCAGAGCCACCCTTGGTTCTGAGCAAAGGGGAAGCTGTGCCTGCTTCCCCACCCCACTTTCAGAAGCTGAAGACCTCCGTAGGAGGCTTTCTCACACCCCATATCTTGGCTCAAGTGTCCCTGACCAGAGACAGGAGACCATCCAAGAGCAATGAACAGAACCCTCGCCAGGTAGTGGCAGCCAGCCTCCAGGGCAATGGCCTCAGGGCCCCGCCACATCACCAGCCTGTGCTCAGCTGTCTGTCACCCTCCCACCAAGAGTCCCAGCTGCTTCTTGACTTCAGGCACAGTAACACATCAGAGAATGTTGAGGACCCTGTTGGTACAGGGATGCCTGCGGAGAAACAGGGCAAAGCGCAGCAACAGACACTAGGAGCGAGTGACCCGCAACCTGTTCTCAGCCCCGGAGTACAATTTCCCCCAAGATGGAAACTCCTGTTACTGTTATTTTGGAGAGCCCCGAATCTTAGCTTCAATTTCTATCATACAGCACATTCCCCCTGTACCACCCCAAATGACTCTGGGGTGAACTTGCTGTGGTGTTTTCCCAAAAGTTTGTCGAGTACCAGTGAATTCCCTTGGCAGCTGCATGACAGGGCCTCAGAAACCCTGGCGCATCCATACACAATCCCACTCTGCAGGAGAAGAAACACAAAGCCCTGGCTCCACAGCACCCTTCCATGGGTGGCCCAACATGGATGGCCGCAGGAAATGTGCTCCAGAGAGGGAACTGGAGAGAGGTGGTGAGGGGGAGTGGGGACACGCCTAACACCCCCACCCTGTGGATGTAATAGGTTCCAGAGGCAGAGAATAAACTCCTATTGCAAACCTGGGTGCACGGGATTCATATCTAACTCTGTCAGGCTGACGGACGTTGGTGCAGCGGGTGGCGGTAGCAGCGGCTTCCAGGGCTACAAGATGGTGCCTAACACCAGCTACTGCTTGGCTAAAAGAAAAACTCAGCGTTAAAAATCCATGTGGGGAGTATCAGGAGGTTGACACAAATCAGCTGTGTCTCCCTCTGTGCATAGGGCATCTCCCAGGGCAACCCCAGCAATTGCCTCTCCACTGCTAGCCTAGGTAAGTAAGCTCTTGTGATAACCACCCAGGGAACAGCACTGCCTTCTCATGACCTGCCGCTTAGGTGGCATCACAAGATACTGCCACACCACCTACTGGAAACTCATCAGAGGAATGCCCCCAGTTCACTTGTAGCAAACTCTGCCTGGCAGCCAGGTCAGCCCCAGCTCCAGAACTAGCAGCAGCCTGCAGTTGCCTTCAGAGCTCTCCCTGAACTTCTCCTGGAATCCAAGTTTCACCACCCCTTTCTGTCCAATCCTGGGTGGGTGGCTCCCTTTTGTATCCCAGGACCGACACATCCTCCTGGTATTCCTCTTTCTGGCTCTAAACTCTCGGAGCACCCATATTTAAGGATATTCCATTTAGACTGAAAGCCTTCTTTGCCATCCCAGATCCTGCCACATCACACCTACCATTCACCTGGGGCTGGACTCTGGTTCAGAACTGGGAAATTTGGGCAAAGTTTCAAGATCTGCTTGAGAAACCTTGGCTACTGTGTAGTCCTGAGAGGCCTGAAACTCATCATATGAACCAGGCTGGCCTCAAACTCATAGAGATCCATCTGCTTCTACCTCCCAATTAAAGGTGTATACTATCTCCCATTCCCAGCCGACCAGGCTCTGGTCTAATGGACTGTAGATCCTTGGGGCATAAGCTAGGGTGTGGGATCAAGACCCATCTGTACCTATTGACTCGGTCTTAAAGGTGGAGCCCAGAAATCTCACGTGCTACATCCACTTCCCAGAAGTCATAGAATCAAGGCTGGGAAGGGCGGGGTCATAAATTGGGAGGTACTGGATAAAATGTCAAACAAAATTAACCATCAGCCTTTGTTTGGCTGATACAGAGCACATGTGGCAGGCTTCCATGGGGGTGGGGGTGGACAGCAGCTAGCAAAAGCTGAGGGTACTTCTGTCCCTTCTGTGGCAGCTCTTCCAACTCTGGACAGGGTCAAACACTTTGCCTGCCTTAACTGGAAGGAGTTTGAGAGACAAAGGTGAGGGCTGGTGGAGAAGCTTCTGGGGCTGTGCAGTTAAGTAGGGCCTTCATCTCTGATCCAAGGAGAAAGTATCAGAGGCTGCACACCCAACCACAGGCAGCCAGGGCCACAGAAGCTTGCCCTCAGCTTAGCATCCCAGCAAGGACAAAAAAAATTAGCTGGGCTAGCCTCTCATAGATGGCACCATAGCAAGGGACATGTCTTGGATTTGTGAGAGGGGACACTGTCTCCTACAGTGGTGGGAACAGAATGTTCCCAGCCAGAGAAATGGCTATAGAATGCCAACAACAGGGCAGACCCTGGAGGCCTCCATCTCCGCTATTGCAGACTGCCCCTCACTAAAGTGAGATTAAACCAGCTGACTGAGGAACCCTACACCTGGGGCCCCACTGTCCCTCCCACACAGACCAGACTCCCGCACAGACCAGACACAGGCACACTGGTCTCTCTCAGAGACAGGAAACTCACAAAGCAGTCCCCAGAGAATAGGCCCTGCTTAGTAGCACTGTTGGGATTAGGGGAGCTCACAGAGGCCCTTAGAGCAGTACCCGGCACTGCAGGTGACAAGACAGTGACATTCTCCCTAAACTTCTGCTGCCAGGACTTGGGCACAGCCCTGCTGAGTGTCTGATTGGCTCCCTCACTGCCAGAACTCAAACATGGGGTGTCATCCTAATACCCAGCCTCCTCTGCTACCCCTCTCCCTTAAGGAGGTGACCCTCAGGTGGAGGGCTGAGGACAGTATCAATCACTGATTCAGATTCATATCTTCCCAAAGAGCTTTGCCCCCATGGCTGAGTAGACTCAAGCATGGCCTGTGTCTGTCTGGGACAAAGCATTCACCAGCTGGAATTATTCGAGAGACAGGGTCCCTAGTATTACAGTTCTTTGGTCCTTTTCTGCAGTGTTGGGAATGTAGCCCAGAACTTCAAATGCTAGGCAAGTGCTTTGCCAACCAGATGCACCCCAGCCCATTCCTTTTCTTTTTGCTATTAAAAATGTTTTCTTGGGTTGAAGAGATGGCTCAGCAGATAAAAGATACTGGCTGCTCTTCCAGAGGGTCCAGGTTCAATTTCCAGCACCTTCATGGCAGCTCACAAATGTCTGTAACTCCTGTTCCAGGGCATCTGGCACCCTCACACCAATGCACAGAAAATAAGATTTAAAATGTTTTCTCTTTTACATTGCAGGGAAAGTAACTTGTCATCTTAAAAAAAAAAAAAAAGAAAAGAAAAAGAAAAAAGAAAAAAAAAATTTCCATGGGACAGGAGAGATGGGTTAGCAGTTAAGAACACATACTCCTCTTTTGCAGACTAGAGTTTTGTGGCTCCCAACCATCTGTAACTCTAGTTCCAGGGGATCCAATGCCCTCTTCTGACTGTTGTGAGCACTGCACCACATGGTGCACATACATATATGCAGGCACACTTCATACACATAAAATAAAAAAAAAAAAAAACACAAACCTTTTTTTAAAAATCTCCATAGGGGCTTGGGACATATGGTTCAGTGCTTTGCCTAGTATACAGAGCCCCTGGCCCCACCCTCAACACCTCTGACCACCCTAGCAATTAAGTGGGGTGTATTTCTGGCTCTCTCTACTCCTCAATGCTACCTCCTCAGGGAAGCCCTCCTTGCACAGCCTACAACCATCTCCCAGCAGTGTGGCTCTGGTTCCCCAGCAGTAATCCCGTACCTTCTCTGGTGGCCTCAAATTGCTTTGTGTTCCAGGACAAGGGCTGGGCCGGCCCCAGGTGCACTGAGAAAGACCTGGGTTTGCTGTAGTCATAGCAACCCTTTGTTCCTCTAATTCCAACTGTTTTCCTATGGTTCAAATAATAACTGCAGCTGACATGTGGCCACACAGCTCTGGGTGCTTTATATAATTCCATCTAATAAGTCTTTTTTTTTTTTTTAATCAGGCTAAATATTTCCCTTCCTCCCTTAAATCCTTCTCCAATGATTGCTGCCGCTCACTTATCTCCTAATTAGTCCAATGGTAATGGGCCTTGTGAGCATCTTAGCATGCAGAGACAAAACACTCAGGAAATGTCCTGTGCATGTGGAGAGATACCCACCTGCTCAGGCAGTACATTCTAGGCTGGCTCTAGGTATCCAACCCTTACTAACCGGTGAGATGAGAGCCATCACCTCATTCTGTGGATGCCCAACCAACTCATGAGGTTAAGCCAGGAGGTTTACATAACCAGGAAGAAACACACTCCTGAGTATTGAACCCTAAACTGCTGAGCTCAGGATTATTTTCTTCAATTCAAAGTCCGACCCCCTTCAACCTGGCACAGGAGACTAGTGACAGTGGCTAAAGTTAGAGGGGCTACTTTTCAAATTAACCCCCCAAAATTAAGAGTCTAAATCTCCAAACCACAGTTGCTTTCACAGGCCGAATGCAGCTGCGTGGCATGGTGGCTATGTGTCGGATAGCACTGGCAGCAGCAACGGACATCCACATGCCACACAGGCTTTGCTAAATGTTTTCCCATTTAATTATACTCAGAACTCAGAACAGGTGAGAGTCAGCGATACCAGCTGTGATTGTTAAATACCGACCCTCCAGCTAAGCAAGAGAGCTTGTTTCAACCGTTAAAACAATCAGGAGGACAAAGTCCAGGCAATGGTTATTCTCCATGACTAATAGTGGGGACAGCCAACTCTAGGGGCTGCCCCAGCCCAAGCCATCTCCGTAATCGTACTGCCTCTCCCCACTCTCTGCCTGCCCCAGCACTGCCCCACCCCTTCACCTTCCCTGAGTTCTCAGTCGCTCAGACTCTTCCCAGTATCCCACCCTCCATAGCCCAGGGCTTAATCAGCTTAGTCATGTATACAGCCTGGGACACCCAAAAAAAGGTCTCCTTTTCCTCCTTGGGGGCAAGGATACCTGTGATTTAGGTCATAGCTATAAATAACCCCTAACTCCATCCTTTTTAATTGACTCATCTATTTATTTGGTCAAGGAGTTCCTTCTGACCCCTCCTCCACTATGGCCGAGTTCTACATTAATACTTCTTCCACTGATGCCTGATGCCAAGAAAGGAGGGTCCCTCCCCTGGCTTCTGCAGCTTTGCTCTCAAGTCCATAGCAGGCAATACCTCCTTTTGAGAATCTGGTCCAGCCTCCTCCACTGCCTTACCTAGATTCTAATTGGAACCTAATGGGTCACTGGCCATCTGAGTGGTGACCTCAGGACCCTGGCTTCTCCCTGAGGGCCTCAGTAGCATCATCTGCTAAATGGAACATCTCAAATTACATAAGGCGAGACTGACTGGAGAAAGGGCCTCAGCACAGATCAGATTTGTTCTGGGAGACACAATACACCCCCTGCCCTGGAAGATCGCTGGCTTTTATTTTATGAACTTTTCAAACAAGCACTGACTCTGACCAGACCTTTCTCAAGTCTGTGAGAGGAAAAAACAAACCCACCATGCAAACACCAGATATTCTGGTTCTCCATCACACTGGGTGACAAACAAGAAGCTTAAGCAGGGTGGTTCTCTATGGCCCACCCCCAAAGCCCTATCAAATGTCTTACTAGGTAAAACTCCCAAGAGCAGTGTTCCTCCCAGGACCTCCAGCCAAGGTGACTCTTATGGCTCAGTTGGGGTGAGAGCCCAGTTGTGCTTTTCCATCTTGAATGCCCATCATCAAAACAGTTACCTAACAGTCCCAAGTTCAAGCCACGAATATGGCCACTGGTCTGTCTCCACGGTCTAGTTCCCCAAAGTGGAGCAAGACCAACCCCTGGACACAACATCCAGCATTGAGGTCACCAGATGAGAGTCCCCTCCTCTGCCCAGAAGAGAAGCCAGACCAAGACACACCTTCCTCAGCTTCCTGAAAGTTACTTCACTTTCACTCTCGGCCACACCAGGCT